CAGTGAAGGTTTAGAAGGAGATAAAATAAAGAAGTAAAGCTCAACAACAACAAAGCAAACCCAATTAGAAACTGGGCAAAGGCCTAGACATTTTAAAAAAAGGTATACAGATGGCCAATAAGCACATGAGAAGATGCTCAACATCATTCATCTTAGGGAAATGTAAATCAAAACAACAATGAGACACTATACTTGCTAGAATGGCTATAATCAAAAAATGAAAAATAACAGGTGTTGGCAAGGATGTAGAGAAATTGGAACACTTGTACATAGCTGGTAGGGATGTAAGTGATGAAGCCAATGTAGAAAACAATTTTGCAGTTGCTCTAAAAGCTAAACATGGAATTAATATATGACCTAGCAATTCTATACATATATATACACACACACTCCTACATATATACACAAAAGAACTGAAACAAGGACTTGAACAGATACTTGCATGCCAGTGTTCATGGCAGCATCATTCACAGTAGCCAAGAGGTAGAAATAACCCAAATGCCAACTGAGAGGTAAATGGGTAAACACAATATGATGTAGCCATGCAGGAGAATATTATTCAGCCTTAAAAAGCAATGAAGTTCTTATACATGCTACAACATGAATGAACTTTGAAAACAATATGCTAAGTGAAATAAGCCAGACATAAAAATATTGTATGATTCTACTTATATGAAATCTCCTAAATAGGTAAATTTATAGATTAAAGGTTATCAGGGGTTGGAAGGAGGAAATAATAGGGAGTTATTGCTTTTTGGTTTCAGAGTTCCTGTTTGGGGTGATGCAAAAGTTTTGGAAATAGTGTTATGGTTGCACAATACTGTAAATGTAATTATGCCACTGAACTGAACAGTTAAAAATGGTGAATTTTATGTTTTATATATATATATGTATATATATATATATCTTTACCTCAATAAAGAAACTAAAAGAAGATAGGATCATATTATTAGAAGCTAGAAGAAGGGAGACCCTTGTCATACAACGAAGAGAGCTTCCAAATTTGTTACCGCAGTTATATGGAAAGCAGAATATGTAAGAGTGACTTGGGTTATATAGCTAAGGAAATTTCCAAGCAAAGTGTTGAAGGTGCCACCTGGTTTCTTCTTGCTGCTTATAGTAAAATGTGGAAGGAAAAATAATTGAGGGAAGCAATATTAAATGGAAAGAAACAGGTCTGGATGGTTTTGGAAATTCTTGGCCTCTCCTGATGGCAAAAGATGCTAAAACGAAGAAGCAGCTTCTGAGCACTGTCAGGAAAGGTGGACATAGAGTAAAAAGCTGAGGGTGTGACTGTACAACCTTTTGTTAAAACCTCAGAAACATCAAAAGATCAGAGTAGTGTTCAGTCATACAAGGAGTCCTTTCAAAAGGTCAAGAGCAAGAGTCGCAGATCCTTTCAGTCGCAAGCAAGCTGGAGGGTGTTGTCCCTCAGCCATCTCAGCAGGAACCCCAGGTAGAGAAGGGCTATCTCAAAAAGATCTATGGGTGTAGATCTCTTCAGCGGAGTAAACCCCAAGGAAATTCACAGAAGACTTATAGAGTTTATTTCAGCAAAAAATCGCCAGCTTAGACTGAAATGTATGGAGAAAGTACAGATGAAATGAGGCTGTTGGAAACCCAGACTTGTCCTGGCAGGAATCAGGCTGATTAAACTGCCCAGCTGGAAGCACATGCTACCTTTCATGAGAAAGGAAGGATGATTCAGGAAACAGAAGTGAGAGCCCAGAACACAGAGCTAAGAATTGTGGAGAATCATGGCCAAGCCTTGAAACTTAATCAAGCAACTCCATACACTTGTCTGAATAGATTTCAGAATTTCAATGGAAATGTCTTTGTACTTTCCATTTCCCCCCCTTTTCAACAGGACTATCTGTAGCTGTAACCCTTTGCCTGTCCCACCATGGGTTCACTGGGTGTGTTGGTGGCAGATAACGTGTCTCTCATTTTAAAGATGGACAGACTGAGATGAACTACACCCAGGAAGGCTCATTCACATATGGGTCTGACTTAAATAAGGTTCTGGACTTTGGGGAAATTATTGAATGGTATAAAATTTTGTGGAAACTTGGGAGGGGAGAAATGCATTTTGTACACGTCAGGGACACATAATCGATGCTGGCAGATAAACTATATGGTGATCCCAATGATCCCTGCCCTTCTGATGTTCATATCCCGTGTAATGTACCCCTCTTGATTGAGGACTGGGTCTGTAACTTTCTTCTAGCCAATAGAATATGGAATGGTGGAGGTTTGTCGCCTTTGTGATGACATTACATAGGAGAGTGATGTCCATTTTGCAAGGAGATTCTCTTCCTTGCTGGATTTGAGGAAGAAAATGACCATATTGGGAAGGCTCACTTGGCAAAAAACTGAGGACCGTCTCAGGCTGACAACTAGTGAGACGCCGAGATCCCAGACTGACAGCCCACAAGGCACTGAATGCTGATAACAACCACATGATCTTGGAAGTAAATCCTTCCCCAGCTGAGCCTCAGATGAGACCTCAGCTCTGGCTAAGCAGAGAGCCCAGATGAGTCATGTAGGAACTCTTGGTCCACTGAGACTTGAGTTAATAAATGTGTGTTGCTTTAAGCCATTAAGTTTGTGTCACACAGCAGGAGAAAACAAATACAGACAATGACATTTGCATTTTGATAATATTTATACACAGAGATCCATTGCTTCATCCTTGCTGGTAGCCTTTTTAGGAGTCAGTGCTTCTATTCAGTTTCTGCTACTCAAGAAAATCATTTTCCAGGAAGTTTCAGAACAGAAAAACAAAATGCCCATGCCTTTTAAAGTACAGCTAGAATATAAGTTACATATTTTCTTTATCCATTATGTAGAAAAAACGATGTAGCTATTTCTGAGATCTCTGTTGCAATAAAGCTCTCATTGAATTTTTCATATATTGGAGATTTTATCCCAAATCAAAAGTCACTGACTGTAGTCCTAACATTAACTTCGGGACTTTGCCAGGAGAGCCAATTTATTCATTTGTGGCCACTCAGGAGTTCTTTATGGTTGATGGTGTTCAAATAAACACAATGTGATTTTATTAATGATTGTGTATGTCTAGTCCGTCGTCTTTTGTACCTTCTCAGGGAGACAAGGCTCTCCTTTAATCTCGAGTTTAGTTCTCAAATTTCCCTTTTTTCAGAATCAGAATGGTATTTCTTTATATTACTTAGGTACAGAGACTTCCTGCATAACATGGCAAAGAAACCTAAGAACCATTTGTTTGTGAAGACCAAGAAACTGATATCGTGTGTTTGTCTTTTCTAGTTTTCATTATTTTCTTGAATGCTCCCTAGAAAGGCAGTTCCAAAGGGAGACTTCCCCGGGCCACAGGCCTTGTTCTTATCATCCAGGCATCTCTTACTTAAGTCCCAATGTTCCCTTCTTAAGCAAATATTCATCTAGCCCAAATGAGTGTTTCTTCTGTAAAATAAGAATATTTTAAGTGTAAGTTCCCCAAACACATTAGCCATCCTGATCTCTTTCTGAAAATGAAGCTTTATGAACACTTGTAAATGGATACAGAACATTCACCTATGTTAACCACAGAATTAACCAGCTTCTTCCTTCCTGCGTGCTCAGCCTGGGAAAGGTGATAACAGGTGTGAGGTTGTGGAGGTGCCGTGATTTTAGGAGTGGCTTCGCACAGATGAAGGAGACTTTGCCTGAATGGGCTCTATTACGTGACAACGTATAGCATTTTACAACTTCCAACCAATTTAAATCTTATAACCCTGGGAAATAGCAGGGAGACAACTTCCCCATAATCGACGTTCTCACTTATCAACTGGTGTCAGATTGGAAATGACAAGCTTATGCAAGTCTGTCACTGGGGACTACTACAAAAGCGACCAACCCTGCTTTGTAAAAGTTATCCTTCATTTTTCTCTCTGAGTCAAAAGAACAAAGTCTTAATTGGTGATTTAGGAACACAGTGAAGAAAGAAAAAAAAATGATTCCAGTTAATTTCAGGTTGTGATAAGTATTTAGTAAAGAATTATCTATACACTAAGCCTGTGGTTTTGTCTATATAAATATTAATCACATAGCAAATAACTGCATACACTATTTTTCTGAGGCTCCCACTGAACCCATTTCACTGGCTATAAGCCTTACTACATTTTAATTAAAAAGTACTGAAAGCCAGCTTGTTTCTCATGGATCAATAGGATAAGTTTATGTGATATGGGGAGTAAGAATCCTGAAAGTGATGTGAAATTCACCTACTTGGATTTTCTCCCATAAACGAGAATGTACTTTAAATATGCAAGAAAGAGTCAATTATGACAACTGTAGATTTTATGAGGCCAAAACCAAATGTCTGAGTCTATAGAAAGCAACAAACTGTTAAATGCGAGACTGAACTCAAATGTCCCTATGAAGTGTGGAAAGCTTAAAATACACGTGGAAAAGGATCCCCCCTTCTGGGTTGTCCTGCAGCTTCACTGAGGGTACCTGTTAATAGACAAGTGCATAGTTGTAAATATAACCAAAATACTGACTATGTTCTCACCTACATGCCAGTGCTTCATTTAGTTGTGATGGAAAACTTACCTCATCCGAGCAATACCATCTGGACCCAGGACCAGCTCAGGCCCTATTCAGGATTGGAGGTTTGAGACTTGAATTCAATTCTAGTTGAATTCTAACAAGAACAATCATTCTCCAGCAGACCCATAGGCTTAGTCTCTGGGGAGCCCAGCACAGAGATGCCCACTGTCCTTGCATCTCCAGTCCCTTGGAAACTGCTCAGCTGAATGAACTGTGCAGGCTCCACGGCGGCCCAATGATGCTGTCAACCCCAAGCTTTGGTCAAAATTAAAGAATGCCAGAAAAAGAGGAGGGTCATTCAGCTCAACAGAAAGGGATGCCACAGATAAGCTGAGCCGGATCCAAAACTGAAGCTGCAGGGGAACCGACCACACTGGGATGACAGTAAGCGTGAGGATGGCGATGCCGGGAGCAGAGAGGGTACATACCTTTCCTCGCGGTTCTGTCCCACACACACCCGGCCCCCGTGTCGCGGAGTAGGGTTGCTGCAGGACCTCTGGCGCACCTGGAAGCCGATCCCGCAGGTGGTGCTGCAGGGAGACCACAAGGTCCAGGGGGTCCAGCCTCCACTCCTGGGGGAGGAAGCCACGGGGTCATTGGGTCCAACTGGCTCGGAGCCCAACCTCTGTCTGCACCCGCCCCCAAATTCACACGTTCCCGACACGGACCACTGACTGTGGGCTGTGAAGGAAAAGCCCGCAAAGAGCCATGGGAATAAAGGTCCTATCACAGGAACCTCAATCACTGTGAGGTTTTCTTCCCCACGTATCTGATTTTAGAATCAAAATAGAAAATCTGAGAGTCAAGTTTTAGCAATATTAGGAACAATTAAGAAAGTTTAGTTATGAAAACATTAAACTAATGAAAAATAATGTTATTTCACTGAAAAGCAGTTAGAGATGAATCCCTGAAACCTGAGAGTTTATGAATTTAGTTGACTTGTACCATGTCAGTTATCATCTATGAAAACTGCACATTTGAACAAAATACTCATCTAAATGTTTATTTTAAAAATCTGTTAACATCAGTGAAAATCAGTAACTTTCTCGATGGCATTCACATTGATAAAGAGCACCGTAATGTGCCAAGTTTTAAAACAAGCTTTATTAAAAATGAAGAATGGGTATTTTAAATTCAGATTCTTGGCTATTTTCCTGCAATTTGACAAAGACGTAGTATATAAATAGGAAGTGCAAATTGCATATATCTTTATTTGTGTTGTTATACATATAAAATAAGGTAGATATATTAAAAATGTAAAATAAAAGAAAATGAACCACTTTTATAAAAGTGGCTTACAAAATAAACTGCTACTAGCAGCTAGAGAAAATTTTTGTTTGATATTGTATTTTTTCCTTAACATGGCTGCATGTAGAATATTTATAATTTAAATATATCCCTTAGCAGTTTGTCTCTGCTATTTAAAAACAAGCTATAGGAATAAATAAAAAATATTTTTAAGTATTAAAATATCCGTTAAATCCAGAGTCCAAACTCCCACACAGATGGTTTACTGCATGTAGAATTTTTTTTATTTCTCTAATTGCATATGTGTTTCTAAATAGCTGTTACCCTCATCTATCGGATTTATAGTTCCACTGAAAAAAATCAACTCACATGAATTCTTATTTTACTTTATATGTTCCTTTAAAAGCATGGCGGTCCACAGCTCAAGGTACAAACAACAAATTACATATGTAACTTCTAACACAATTTCAAATGAAAGTTCCTCTGAGAAAATACTTAGTGTATTTCATATTTCCCTACTTTATCTTCTGAAACTTAAAAATAATCTCAATAAAATATAAATGATACCTTGATGCGCAATACAATAACAAAGCTGCTTTGTGATAATTTAACCAAAATAACACAAAATAAGACAGACTTCCCAATTTGCTTCTAAAAGTAATTAGTATCTTATACGTCATTACCTACACAATTTTAAAAAGTATCCAAGTAATTCATTGAATTACATGCAAAAGTAGCAATTTCAACATGAATAAAATGACATTTTTACTTTCAAAGTTTCTTTATATATGAAAAAATGGTTAGATAATGCAGGAAACACTGCTTCCAAAATTGTTTGGAAATTCTTAATTTCCTAAACCTTTTAACAAACGTGACATCTGATGATATAGTCTACTTACAATCTATGGAACCTGCTGTATACAGGGAGGTAGGTAAATGGAAGTGTTTGTAAATAATAGGAGTATAATACCTGAGGGAATAAATGAATATACTGTCCATGAGTGTGACTATTCTATGGAGCTGGGTTTGCACAACTTAGAAACGCTGCTTAGCGGCAGATGTAGTAGCAGGCAACCGAAGAAGTAAGCATATATCAGCAGATGGATCATTTTTGTGATGAAGTCAGTCCAAAACAATCCACTTATGCATTTAAAACATCACTAAAGCAGGTTCGTTTATTTGAATTTTAGTCTTGAAATAACCACTAATTGTATCACGGCTCTGCTTAGTGAATGACATTCCACAGCTAGAACCAGAGCCGAGGAGGTATCGATAAACAAGTCACAGTAAGGCCTGTGATAGTCCTTGTTTTCCATGAAACAATATAAAAAAAGAATATTACTCATTGACTATAATCTTCCAACAGTAACAGTTCTATGGCTTTTATAAAGTTTCTGCCAGGCATCGTGGAAACCAACTTAGCTTTATAGAAATAATGCAGTGCATAATGCAAGGTTGATATGTTGTAGTTTTCTGTAATAACACAAATAATGTAATCTCTGTAGCCCTGATGGGCTCCTTTCAACTTTGTGCAGTGATCTGAGCTGGCCTATGGAAAAGGTGAGCAGAGGGCAAAATCCGCCCTTGTGGCTTGCCTTTCCTTATCTGACGGACCTTCTCCTCTTGGGCAGGCAGAGCCCTCACGCCCTGGGTTCCCGTATGGTGTGGTCACCCAACGTGCTTTTCAGTGTTAGTGATGTCACAGACAACTCGCCCAGAGGTCTCTGCATTCTAAATAGGCTCCTGGAGAGAAGATAACACTTAATAAAAATATCCTACATGAAGTGAGGCGGAAGAGTTCGGAGACTGATCCAAGAAGCTTTCCTGGTGCTTGCTTTTTAAATTTTTTTATCTTTTTTATTGAAGTGTAATCTACTTCCAATGTTGTGTTAGTTTTAGGTGTCCTGGTGCTTGTTTTAAAATATGAAATATTGCTGTGGTCACAGTGCTATAGGTGATGCAGGGAAGGGAGGACCAAATTGAGTATAGTTGTAAAAGAAAAATCAAACAAACAACAACAAAACAATATACAAAGGAGACAGGAAACCTACTCCACGGATCACGCTGTTTGAACCATTCTCCGGGTTACCCAGCAGCAGATGTTAGCTGAGCTGGGACGTTCGGAGCAGAGCTGTGTGATTAAGGACTTGGCTTCTATCTCCCAGCTACTGGGAGATAGTGCGCAGTAGTGGACGCTGTGGTGTGCCTTTCTCCAGATGCTGAGGGTGTTGGTGGTTACGACTCTCAGGTGAGAGGATCTAACAGCATCAAAGAGCTGCCAGCTCTGGAGCTTCCTGTGCGACCAGCTGAGGTCTTTGTGCGGCCTGCAGCCCAGCTCTGCCCAGCTTCCTGCTCCCCTCCCCCACCCCAGCTGCAGATGCTCAGAGCCCTCTGCAGTTTCATTCCCGCACACAGACGATCTCGCTGTCACTGGTTCTCCGGACCAACCCAGGATGGACACAGGTTTTGCTCCTAGAGAAAAGTCCCCTAAGAAGGTATAGGTAAGGACTTCCCTGGCGGTCCACTGGTCAAGACTCTGCGCTTCCAATGCAGGGGCTGCGGGTTTCATCCCTGGCCGGGGAACTAAGGTCCCGCCTATATGTATGTAGAACTGAATCACTTTGCTGTACACCTGAAACTAACGCAACATTGTAAATCAACTATATTTCAATAAAAAAATTTTAAAAACAGAAGGTATAGGTAACAAACGTTGAAAGTTGCAGACTTATTGTATTTAGATGACAAAGTCCTGTCAAGGCTTCAAGGCTTCCTTGACGTTCTACCTTTCTGCTTAGCTAGTTACAATTCTCTCTCTCTCTCTGCTCCTCCCTCCCGCCCCAGGAATTAGAATTCAGAAGTGACATACACATTCCTGTGTTCATTTTAATCATAAAATTAAACCAGATTTTCCTGATTGATAGGAAGTCTGACTTGACCCTGGTTTGATAATAAAGTCTGGCTTAGCTAATTACCTTATATTGTGGGTTCATTTCCATAAATTGAATGCCTTTAATCTGCGGCTCCAAGATAGTGAGAAAACAAATTTAAATGATGTGAAACAATAAAAGCGTTTAATCAAAGATATTATATTTGCAAAATGTATTGAACTAGCAATATTTTGAATTTCCCAACAGTTTCTGAGTATATTGGATTAAACAACTATAATGATAAATAAAGAAGAACAGGTTTAATTTAGCATCATTAGAGCAGTCTCTGTAAAGACTTTTGGATGTACTTTGCACAAATTGAGGAAGCACTTGACGTTGCTGACTGGGCCAAAAAATATGGGTTTGTAAGTTAGGTGGTTTCCAGTTTTTTGCTTCCAACAAAATTGAGGCCAACATAGACAGGTTATCAACTGATAAAGGGCATTAAAAACAATCTCTGATGTTAGATTACCATACTTTGGGCAGACAGCTTCAAAGGAATATGTAGACTAGGAGTCCCCTGCTGCTAGAACAAAAAGCATTTGCTGCCAACCGGCCAAATCCACTTGATCCATTGTCTCTTTCTTTTGACAGCATCAGTGGCTTCCAATGGTTAGAAGCAAGTGAGCGGATTGGGCCGTCTCTCCAGACCCTGCCCTGAGGTGGTTCATAAGAAAGAAGGCAAATCTCAGATAGAATCTGGTGACACACACGAAACTGTGACATGGCCTGTTTTTGTAAATGATGGAGTCCCAGCTTCCTATCCCTCAGGCATGGTGAAATGTACACTCATGAGAGAGTCACATGAAGCAGATGTGATGCTGCTGACAGCAGACAGCTGCTCTAGCCAGCTTTCTACTCAGAGCAGGGAAAGGTATCCTACTCCGTTATCAGGGCAGACGCTACCCCCCAATCCACGCAAGGACAGAGATGCATGCACGGTGTATCAGCTCATGTATTCTTGGACACACCCCTTAATTCATGAACCAAAATTTATCCCTAACAGCCCATATACCAATAAGTGATGCTCTCATGCACATTTGGAAAGCAATACGCACTGTTAGAAGCGGGCTCCCCTGCAGTGTGAGCACCAGTGTAGGACAGTTTCGGTAGTTTCAGAAGCGGCCCCTAGAGTGATATTCCTGAATCTGTAAAGGACGGATCTAGGGTAGCAACTAAAGTTCCCGTGATGTAGCTGTGATGGGACAGCTGTCACTCACAATGTTTGTACTTGGACAGTGTGGTTTCCGGGCGCGGTGGTCTTCATAGCAAGTTTCTCACCTGCCCCTTAAAAGAATGGTGATAAACTAGATACCTCTCAACTACTTGTAAGTTGGCATCGAATTTTTTTTTCGTCAAAAGCTTCAAAAGTTGCAAAGGTATAATTTCTGTTACATCACTATTTAAATGTGTGAGGGAATTTAAATGCCATAGTGATTTGATAGCCACCTTCCCATTTAAAAACTTGATGAGCAGGGTCTAATTAAACATTCAGAAATTTTATGCTTTTCCTTCTTCTAACATCGTGCACTCTCAAAATACTTTCCCTCATCTAACAACGAACACATGAATAGGTTTAGATTTATCTCAACATATAAACAGGCTTAGAATCTAATTTGCAATTTTTTAAATTGAAGTACAGTTGATTTACAATATCGTGTTAGTTTCAGGTGCACAGTACAATGATTCAGTTACACATACATATGTATATTATATATATGAATATGTATATATGTATATTACAAACCTAATTTGTAATTTTAAATCTACTCTCATAGATCACATCATTTTTAAGCGGTAAGTGTCCCTGTCTTTTTCTGACATTTCTCTTGAAGAGGGAAGGCACGTATTAGAAGTGATTTCCTAAATTCCTCTGCAGGCTGAGCTCACACGTGAGTTTAAGCCCGAGTGTTGCGAGGGACACACCTGGAACAGTTAGCGATCTCCATGCGGGGGCCCTCGCACTGCCAGCCGCCGCACTGGGGGGCCGGGCTGTCGCAGGAGCGGGTCCGGCAGAGGCAGGATCCCACGGTGCTGCCGTCGGTGTGCGTGCATGGCGCCCACGCTGACCACGCGCCGAAGTGCCCATCCACGGTGAGATTCCTCATCTAGGAAGCAGATACAAACGTGGATGTCAGAAAGGGTCAAGGCTGCAAACATAATAGGGAAAAAATGAAAGGTCTCCCACAAGACCATCAGAACTCATCTGGAATATTTCATATTACGATTAAAAAGAGAGGAACAGGGATGTATTTTGAAGTAAAGCAGCAGAGGTCATCGGTGGAGAGAGTGATGGAGGAGAGGGAGGGGAAAAAAGAGGCAGAGGGGAGGAGGGGGCAGAAGAAAAGAGGGATAGGAAGGATATGGTTCTATCTGCCTCCGTCAAGGAGGAGGGGGAGATGTAACGACTTGTCAATCAAGCGATACTAGGCTTGTTCACTCATGTGAGAAACCCAAGGAACAAGAAGGATTGGAGTGAAGAATCACATCTGTACTACTCTGTTGCATTTTTATGTACCTTAAAATAATGCAAGATTGGTCAGCCGGCATTATGTAAGACCTGGCCTCAAAAGTCGCCTCAAACTGACAACATTTAATTGATAACGTCTTAAAAGAGTGTGTCTTAAGCAACCGGAGCCTACTAGTTGTTAGGCGCATCCCCGTCAAACACGTCCTATACCCACCCTCCAAGAGTTTGTAAGCTGGCCAGGAGGAGCTGGACCGCTCTTCATTACTACAAGTAAATCCAGTGATGGAGCTCTGAGCAGGGGCTGTGGGCGGAGAAGGGGCTCTCGGCAAACTCGCAGGATCCGGAAGGACGGTTAGGAGGCTGCGCTGCGCCCTGAAGCACGAGAGAGGCACCAGGTGACGAGGCTGCACTGTGCGCTGAAGCATGAGAGAGGCACCAGGTGACGGAGTCATCCGGGGCCGCCGAGGGGAGCAGCCTGAGTGATGACAGAGGGGAATGCTGCTGCTGTGTGGTATTGAGGGCAAGCAGGCTCTAATGTCGCTGGGACGCGAGCAGGTGGTCCAGAGGAAGCAAAACGGAGAGCTGAGCTAGGAGCCACGGCAGGGTCTGAACAGAGGGCCCGGATGCTCTGTGATGTGTACGTTCTGAGGGCCTCCAGGGAGGGTGGAAGGCAGGGGCCTCTCTGGCGGGCACCCCGGCCCATGGTGACCAGCTCCAGTGCAGGTGGAAGACCGCACGATGTCACCGTAAATCTGACCAGGGAATTTTCTCAGGAGCTAGAGTGTCCTCCAGATTTGAGAGTCTTGGGACCCAGCCTTCAGATCACCCAGACCCCAAAAAGGAATCTCCCCTCTGAAAAGGGACAGAAGAAGGCCTAAAGTCCAAACCTCCTAAATTTAACATGGGGCCTTATGCATTTCTTAGAAAATATGACAAACGAAGAGAAGGGATCACAAGTAAGTTACGTGCTTTCACGTTACTCCCTGCTGCCCCACCTTCTCGCCCAAATGGTCCCACCCTGGATGATTCTGGGGGATTAAAGACTCATCATTCACACAGGAGAGGACTCCACAGATGAGACAGTTCATTTCTCTGGGGCAAACTGTACCTGCACGACACAGTTTCAGAACAAAGCTCACACCACATTTCCAAGTGAGCTTTACCTCTGCTCTGTATCCAAATACAACAGGAAAGAGTAAACGTTTAGCATGTTCATGTCCTCGGACCTGGCTGGTTGCCCATCTCCAGCTGCCACAGTTATGACTCTACCCCTCTTGTTTCTTATCGATACTCCAAGACTTTACACTCCCACTAACCATGCCTGGCTATTTCTATAAGAAGCAGGGACAAAAGGGAAAGGATGAAACTGCATGATCCTCTGGATTCAGAGTGATTCACCGGATCCCACCCAGAGTGAGGTGATATACAAAGGCAGATTTTTCCTAAGAGGAAAATATCCCCATTTCTAAGGTCCTGTAACCTCCCCCGTCCCACCAGGATAAGAATACAGCTCCTACCATATGGTGACCTCAGTGTTTTCTTGGAGAACAGACCCCTGCGTGACAAGGGGGTTCACACCACGAATTTCTCCCTGAATTTGTTGTTAAAGCAGCAAAGGCCCTGCCACTTGCGAGTTTCAGGATTCCTCCTCCATCCTTTAACAGCCCTCTTGCTGCCTCTGGCCGAAAGGGCTCTCGTGCAGGTAGAAAAGGGATCAGCAGATGCTCGCACTGGGGTTGACCATGCTCACAAGTCCAAACACCTGCCCGCTATGTAAATGTGGCTATGACTGTTCTCACGGTAAGAAGCATGAAGCCCTTGCTCATGGAGCCAGCATCAGTAATAACAGTGATCACACAGCATATTTGTATAATATCTACACAGTATAGGTCCATATTATTTTGACTGATCGTGATCATTACTATTACTTTGTGAATGTGCTCTGAGTCTGGGGAGCTCCCCTCTGCTGCTCTGCCCTCAGGGCGCCGTGCGGGGCTGGGCATGGGGGCTGACGCACCAGCTACCTATGCTATGGGGGTGGGGGAGGCGGGGAGGGGGGAGGGGGCAGGGGGCGGGGGCGGGGGACCATCCGTCCCTAGTAAAGAGGGGTGATGAGAGTTTCTACCCTTGGGCTGTGCTCGGAGGCTAAGGAAAACGGCACCTGAGTACTTGTCAAGTGGTTGGCACAGGGACTACTCTCTAGTTAAGGGCCGACCAGAGGTAAAAGCGTTGCACGGATCACACAGAAATGATGCTGAGTTCCATTTCGATTTCACAAATGCAAATATGGTTCTATCTGCCTCCCTCAAGGCATCCAAATGATGCTGTACCTCAGACAAGACCCAGATCTGGGCCACAAGGAAGCCAGTTCCCTAGTCTTCCCCATCTGCTTCTGGCATGTAGGTGATGGCTGGAAGGGGAAATTGGGGACAAGAATTCTTAAAGTGGGATAAAAAGGAGAAGGGGGGCTTCTACTACTGCTTGACACAGTTTCACATTGAAAACATTTCACAACTTTTATTCAATTTCCTGGTAGGCTTGGGCCATTGGCTGGCTTTGTACAGGATATGAGGGACTCCTTACTGAGCGGGTTATGGGTGAACAGATAAACTGTGGAAAGGGGGGATTATCAGAGCCCAGGACTGGACTGTGCTTCCAAGGTGCTGCTCTGCGTGTGATGTAGGGGTACATAGTTGTGCCTGTTACACCCCAAACACACACACACACACACATATATGTCACAGCTCATGGAAAATCGTGCAAAAACCTAAGGAGCTTAAAAGTGAATTTTTAAAGCAACACGAAAAACCAATCAAAAGAGAATATCACCATCCATGTAGTTTATCACATAATGTTGACTCTAAAATTTGACATCAAAAACGTCCTCCTTCTCTGAAGGCCTGCTGTGCTGTAGACTACACTCCAACCCAGCCCAGAAGGAGCCAGAAGCCTCTAGAATGTTTGCTGGAGGTTCAGGCAAAGGGAGCCCACGAGTTACAGAGTATAAAATATCACGGCTTCATGGTACCAGTGAGGTTTCAGAGGTGAAGATCCAAGTCTTAAGCACGTGCATTTATGATGGTCCTGGCAGGATTGTGGAATGAACGTGATGAGGGCAACCTGGGCAGAGGTGTGGGTGGGATTAAGGGAACCATCAAGGGATGCGGAAGCTGCAGGGAGCAGAAACACGGGGAGCTACGACCGTGCTCATCGCGCCGGCCTGCTGGGGAGACGGAAGGACAGGTTATGGGGGCCTGAGGGAAGAATAGAGCCTGGGAAGGGGCTGCCTGACAGGGGCTGTGATGCGGCATGAAGCCCTGGCCAAAGCTGCAGGCTGAGCTGAAGGAGGGCAGGAAGGAGGACCCCAGCCTCATTCTCCTGCCCGTGGTGCACACTGGCCAGACCCAAGACAACAAGAAAGCCTGGGAGGACAGAGAGAACAGTCTGGAAGCGGGGAAGCTCAGGTCCTTGGGGCAGGGGTGGGGAGGGGATGTGGACTGACTAGCACAGACCAGCATCACCATCACCAGAGGCTCTCTGAGACTTCCGGTTCCTTCCATTTGCCTCCTTGTCTGTGATGGTGAGAGGGGTCATGTAGGTCAGGGAAGTCCTTGTGATTTTTGAATGTCTATGAATCCCCCCAATACTGATTAGAAACTTTTGTAGGGGCAGGTGATTTGGGGACCTGCAAAGATGGGTTAATTCTCTTAAATTCCCCTTGGCTTCCGTTTCTTTGTCTAAAATGCAAAGGAAACAGCACAGAGATTGTTAGGATCTCTATAACTACAAGAGATCATGAATATACAAAACTCAAAGATTTGTGAAGTCAGGGGGAAATACAATATGATGGTGATGAATGAATAAAGATGGAAGCAGCAATCATTCGGAATGTTGGAAGACGACATTTTATGATGGAAAAATATGTAGAAACTGGCAAACTAAAAGAATAAGTCAGTGACTTGTAGAAAGGGGCCTGCGGGGCCATGAGTTGAGTGCCAGCTGAGGTGGCCTTTGTAGAAGCTAAGCTTATCAGTGAGGTGAGGCACTGCACTGACTGACAGGTATTATCTCACTGCATCTTCACAGCATCCCTAGAGCATACATCTCACTTTATAGATAGGAAAACTGAAGCCCAGGTGTCACTCAATTAGCTCAAAGTCACTCTGGCTGTAAAAGACCCAAGAATCAGTCTAAACAAGCTTAATCCAGAGCCTGTGATCTCAGCCATTTCATTGGGTAACGTGATTCTTAGAACTTTCTTTGATGAGACTCTTATGGAAATCAGCTTCATGCACTTTTACCACCAGTTGTGTAACAGCAAAGTTCCCTTCACCTAGGAAATAATGGACTTCCAAGAGCTGGCTAGATCCAACTTTTGTTAACAAGCATAATCCTTAATCCCACTTTTGATTTATTCATGTTCAATTCATTAATTCCCAACTGATGAAGGATGTAGATGCATTTGATGAGCATAGAGGTCCCTGGAGCATATCTTTAGGTTCTTACTGTTCTCCAACCGCCATGTTCTTATGACTAAATTGAAGTCTTATATTTTCTATTTGGATATTTTTTCAGAAGTTAAAGTGTTTTCCTTTATTTACTTTTAAAGGCTCATGTACCTTTGGTCAGAGACTGTAACAAAACAGGATATTGGATGCACTCTTTGGAGAGGCTTGTCTCATGTTATGACATCAACTTAATATTGTCCTTAAGTCTATCTGTATAAATGAAGTACATGAAGGGAAGATAGCACCTTTGAAGAGAACTAAGATGGAACTCTGTGTGGCCTCTGCAAGATGGGTGAATAGAGGTAATCTTTATTGCCTCTGAATCCCACTTCTTCCATCTATGAGACAAAATGGAAGCAATAACATCATGAACATTAAATGAGATACTCCGCTGAAAGTTGCCTAACATGGCACCGAGCACACGATCAAAACACCCAATTAACCTCAATTCCCTTTTCCTTCTTTTACAGTTGATTTCAGTGATACCTCTCAGGCTATATGAACATAATATGCCGATGACTAATGGGTCACCAATCACTGAGTCCACTGATCAGCCACTGCTTTGGGAGACGTTGACAGCTGGGAATTACATCATCTTGTAGACTAGGAATAATGTCAGAAGTACTGGATTTAAGTCGATTTCTTTCTCAGTGTAGTTTCAGAATCTTGTGTAAACCCTTTAGTCTCTGGTCTATGGTGCTGGCATCTAAATAAAGGGCTCTGGGCTTAATCACTGCTAAATTCTCCTTTCACTCCAAAGATGATAATTACACAGTAGCCAGGGAAGAATCTGTTATTTTAACACATTTAGGTGCTTATTTGGTCTGTGTATTTTTCTAGTCACTGCACGACGTATTTTGGAATAGAGACTCATTGTATGATATGGTATGCTAATAACCATATGTCCACACAGGGTGTGGATGACATTCACGCATAAATAAAGCCCAGGTAGATTTTTAAGATTGTGCTATCCTTGTTAAGCAATACTGCAAGTTATGCAGGGCGGATATATTATTTGAATCACTCTAGGTATGTAAATTTAGATCTTGCTTGAGTACTTCAAATCTCTTAAACTGAGAACAATGTTTTTAATTACAATAATATAAGAAAAGAGAATGTTAACCAATATGTCAGTCAACTATTGCCCTGTCTCCTGGACAAAAGAAATCCATAAACATTTTTAAATAAGGATCTTTAAGTGGAAAATAGTTCTCTGTCTTTACTCTGGCCCATAAAGTCAAGCCTTTCTTCCATTTCAGTCAAAAAAAAAGAATAATATAGAAGCAAATTACTATTTTAATAGCTTTTAAAAATACTTCTCTAAGTCTGCTCTATATTAATGCTAATCATTTCATCTAACTCATTTCTTTCTAAGAGATTTTTTGAAAGGGATGTATAATTAAAACAATATTTGGGTAATATGGGATTTCCCATTTTCTATCTGGTAGCCTATATAAGTCAGAAAAAATATGTTTTTCTTTCCTGTGGTTTGCTCAAAGTGATATAATTTATTGTCTGTTGTCAAATGCTTTGCATATTCTTATCAGTAGTATATCTTGATAAGTGACAAATTACACTGGATGAAATGACAGAGATGGTTTTGTATAATGAAATCACCTCAAACCAGAAGAAAAAAAGACCTTGTTATGTATGGTTTAGGGACAGCGAATCAGAGATCACGTCTCAACTACATTTTTCAAAAAGAGATAGTGGAGGGGCAGCTGTGAAACCAGCACAGGTCCACATCGCCCTCTGACCTTCCCTGAGTTTATAACAGAAGCTGTCCTCTCAGCAGAAAGAAGCCACTTTAGTGATAACCCTCCTGTCGCTTCTTAAATACCAGGTCTTTCATTTTCTGACCGCAGAAACATACAAGACGTACTCGTTATAAACTAAGTGGATGAGTGTGTATTTCCCCTTATGTAACTAAGCATGTCCCAGATATCCACTAAAACAGCCTTGAGTCCTGGACCAATGGCTTTACTGCTTGAGAAGAACTGCTATTATCTTCCATCTTTTTTTTTTACCATTAAAACTGTAAGGTCAAACATCTACAAGAAGATGCGCTGATTCTCCTAAAGTGTGTGTCTGAACTTTAGAGGTACATTTCAGATAGTGCACTTTGTGTTTTCTTTAGCTGCAAAGCATTTAAGGTGAACACCTTGTGCTTTTAAAGTGTGTTGCAGACATTAAGAAGGAACTTCACACAGACAGTGGCATGTTTTAACCAATTTCACAAGACACCGCAGAAAAGTTTGCTTCTAAATTCAGAGATCCAAAGCTCAATAACCCAAAGGAGTAGCAGCTAACCCCATTGCAAGGCTTTGCTCAGAGCCTGGATGTGGTGATACACCCGCCTCTGCAGCGAAAGGCCTAGATCTCCTGCCAACATTTGGGGAACAACACTGATTTAATAGCCCTTGCCTCCCTCATGACACTCTGCCTGATTTTCTCACTTACAAACTTAAGGACAGGCTTCCTGACACGCGGCTCAGATAATGGAAAGTGCAGGTTCCTTCATAAGAAACGGACAGTCTGTTCAGATGCCTCAGGCAGCGCTGAACAGAAGGAACAGCACGGATTTAAAATAACAGACTGTGTCCCTTGCCTTCTCACCTCTGTCTTGCAGAGGTGCGGCCAGAAATGACAGCATGGAGATCAGCAGTGATGTGACAGCAAAGGGACTTACTAAATGTTCAAATATGTTGAAGTAAATAGCTGTTGCTCATGTTCTCTGAGAACAGAAAGAGACTTGGAATGACTTGATTGAGGGCTCTGAAGACAAAGGGGAAGAAAGGCTGGATCCTATAAGTGAGGATGCAAACAAATAAATTGGCAAAGGAAAGTGTGAAATCTGTTTTCTTGGATTCAGAGTCCGGCTCTAAACACAGGGGAATTTCTCCCTATTCTGCAGGGTTCCCTGTGGGAATGTACATTAGGCTGTTTCTCCCAGGACTTTTTGTGACCCTGAGCAGTAGTGAGGAGACTGTCCCACATGGCGCTCCATCATAATACCCTTTAGTTTATTCTTTCAATTGCTATTTTATTAATGCCACAAAGGGCAAAATAGTCCACACCAAGCTCTGGAGATAAAAATCCAAGAATAAAACAGAAATGTTGCATCCCATTTTCAAATCAGCACTGCTTTCTCTTAAGATATTTCTCTTCAAAACAGACAGCAAGGTGTCAGCAGGATCCCATGTGGCTCCGTGCAAGGAGGGGCTGAATAAGTTAAGAGAGCACAGACTGGATTTGCGAGGAAGGTTCTAATATGAAAATGCATGGACACCACGGAAGCGTGGGTTAGGATTGTAGGACAGCTTGGTTCCCATGGACAGTGTTTCCAGAGCTGGACACACGGACACTCACAGGACAGGTGGAGATGCTCTGCTCCCACTGCATCATGCTCAGGCTCTCCTCCAGGCTCGTGCATTTCTTCATCACCGAATCCCAGCCACAGTAGGGGTCCTGGGCCCCAATGCAGGCACTGGAAACACACACCAAAGGGTCAAGAGAAAGGCAGGTTTATCTAGTACCATAGATGCAAGCTAAGAATTGACCCTTAGGCCTTGACGTGGGACGAGAAACAAAGTTCTCGTCTGCACAGTCGAGAACATAGCTAACTGCATACGCCAGTAAGTATCTAATTAAAATTAAATAAATTAATTTTATTTGACCTATCTATTTTTTTCTAAGATCCAGGGCTGACAACCAAATGATTGTCCATGCTAACATGACGCCTTTTGGTGTCATGAACAATCTAGTGTCAGAATCTTGCAAGGCTCCAAAATACTAGCTGTCATCACACCATCATCACCCTCACCCCCTTAATGACAGGTACTATTTGTTGAACATCTACCGTGGTATATAAAATGATTGCATCCCTTATACAGAAACAACGTTTATAGGAATGTATTAATGTTTTCACTTTATTTATCATCACCATCATCACCACCACCACCATCATCGCTATTATATCATTAGCATCATTTTCATCCCCTTAATAAGGGGTATTATTTGTTGAATACCTACTGTGATATATAAAATTATTATGTCATTTAACCATTTAAACAACTCTAATGAGGGAGGTATTATGATTTTAACTTTATTGATGAGAAAAAGGAGACACCAAAAATTTCTAATATTTGCCCAAAGACAAACAAGTACGCCCCAAACCCTGCAACGTGGTTGGTTCAAATTTAATAAGATAGAGAAGTGTTCCTTTTGAGTACCATAGCTTAAAAATGCATTAAGTTTTTCAATTTAATAGTGGTTTAATATAGCCCTGTCTACAATATTCAACATATTATATCAGAAACACTGTAGATGGTAGATATTTTATTTTAGCTTTGTCTAAACGAAAGAGTTCATATACAACGTGGGCATCATTAAGTGAAGATTTCAGCCCCTAAGTTATAAACACAATATAGTGTAGATGTGGGGAGGGAGGAAACAGACAGAGATGACTGTGACAGTCAAAATTACACAGAAGATGACCCCACAGAAATGCAAGGCATTGGACACCTTCTCTCTGAAGGGTCAAGAGATCAGATGTGCAGGAAAGGGTTGTGAGGGAAGGCAGGTGAGTTCAGCACGGAAGTGCCAAGGTCTTCTGAGTTAGGGCAGAACTTACAAGGGGCTGAATCTGTTACAGAGTTACCAGTTCACCAAGAGTAGGACTAGAAATCATAGCATAATCATCAAACATGGGGCCAGGGAGGCAGTCGAAGTAACAATAAGTCACTAATATTAATGATATTAAAAACCCCTATTAACACATCAAATATGTAAACCTTGCATAAAGCACTGTTCTAAGAACTGGACCTCGATTTGCTCATGTAAACCTCATAAAACCTTTAAACAGAGTACCTCCATCAGCTACTCTATTTATTCTCGTTTTAAAACGAAAAAATCGGAGCAGAGAAAGAAGTCCAAGTTCCACAGCTGGGGAAGATACATGTAAAGATAATAAATGAAGCAATAGAGGTATAAAACTATTACTGAGGGCTTCCCTGGTGGCGCAGTGGTTGAGAGTCCGCCTGCTGATGCAGGGGACACGGGTTCGTGCCCCGGTCCGGGAAGCTCCCACATGCCGCGGAGCGGCTGGGCCCGTGAGCCATGGCCCTGAGCCTGCGCGTCCGGAGCCTGTGCTCCGCAACGGGAGAGGCCACAACAGTGAGAGGCCCACATACCGCAAACAACAACAACAACAACAACAACAACAGACTATTACTGATTAAGTTACCATGCAATTATTGTGTATTAACCAGCCCAAGAAGTTCAAATGGTTAAAACTGGCGCTTCTCACAGCAGGACTAGGGCTGGGAAGGAGTGTGAAACAGTTACCTGTCACCATAACCTCACTGGAACTTTTTGATAAGTGACCCTGTATCTGTTAAAAGATAAACTGAGGTCGATTAAACTGTTCAAGAGTTTATTTGAGCAAACATCCGGCAGTGCCAAAGGGGCACTGGTTAGGAGGCTCCGCCCACAGGGGCTGAGGAGAGGCTTTTACAGGGAAGGTCCAGAAGCAAAGCTCGAAAGTTATTCGATTGCCTACAGCCTGAGCGGTGCCTTATCTGGGAAAGCCTGGCTGTGCTCTTGCCGTTGGTTGTTCTTAAATTTCATCTTTTCCGATTCCAGGGCGTTGACTGGCGTAGGCAGGACCAGAGTCCCAGTCGTACTGAACTAGCGTCACTGCTGGATTCCAAGGTGTGCATCACACATCGGAATCCTCTCCGTGTTTGATCCCATTTTCCCGTCAGGGGGCAAAAGGGGCAAGGCTACACTTCGGGAATTATTCAAGAAGCCTGAATTCCGTTTCATGTTTCTTATTCAAGCAGTATGACCATGAGACAAACTTAAACTTCCAAAAACGAGGAAATTCCACCAAGCCCCTAACGTTGCGGCTTCTTCCCCCTTGCAAAGCTGCCTGTAGAACTGAAGCAACGCCACAGGGTTACATGGAATATTTTAAGCTGTTTTCAATGAAAAGCTGTTTGCAATAACGTCTCTTTCTTCCGATACTGCAGATGGCTCTGTAGACTCTTAAGATTACACTTAAAATACTAAAACTTCTCTACAATCACAAGTGCCCATTCATTAAAAATACTGTTTATATTAAATATGTTTTCCTCACTTAAAATGTTTCATACCATGGGGAACAGTCTGACGAACTCTACCTTTATTCTAAATTATACCTTAAGGAAAACCAGTCATCATAACTTATTATTTTTGGAAGTTGCGTCCCTTAAGGAGATCATGTGGAAAATCACAGAATTCCTATGAATGGAGCCACCGTGAAAGTGGCTTTTCTTTATTCCACTTTGAAAGTGTTTTCTTTGTGTGATGAATATTTTTAATCATTTTTTTCTTATTTTGTTAAGAACCTTAGATCATTCTCATGTGATATATTGCCCTGGTGTCTGAAAGTATCTGAATTCAGAAAACAAGTTGGTCAGAATCTGAGAACACATTTATTGAAAGTGTATTTTAGAGCAAATGCATATTTAGATGTAGGCCTTAATTCTAGAAGGATAAACTACTTTCTTTCTTACAGGAAATTAATCTAATGACATTACAGTTTATATAAACTCTTCCTTTACTTTTTTTGTTTTTTGTGGTACGCAGGCCTCTCACTGCTGTGGCCTCTCCCGTTGCGGAGGACAGGCTCCGGACGCGCAGGTTCAGCGGCCACGGCTCACAGGCCCAGCCGCTCTGCGGCATGTGGGATCTTCCCGGACCGGGGCGCGAACCCGTGTCCCCTGCATCGGCAGGTGGACTCTCAACCACTGCGCCACCAGGGAAGCCCTCTTCCTTTACTTTTTAAAGTTTGCGGTTATGCTATTTGTTGAGTAATAGAAATAAACGGGTGTATTCATTAAAATCTTTCACTGTATTTCTGCAAAGCTGGAGCTAATTACTGAATATGATCCCCTTGCATATTAGATTATCTAAGTATCTATGACTTCATCTGGCTTGTTTCTGCCACACTAACTGCCATTATGTCAGTTTACTTCTGATATTAAGAACTCTTGCCTTATCAACAACAGGTATTCATTAAACATGGGATTTCTAAAGTATTTCCGTCATTCATTTGTTCAGCACACACTTAGCACCTGTCTTGAACTGATTTTGAGAGTGTTTCCTGGGTGTACCGGGAAACAAAACTGACACAGTCGGTTGTACCCAAAGAACTCACCTCTTAGTGAAGGAAATAAACATTAAACAACTGCCCCGATAAATATCAGCAGCCAGTTGCAAAGGAAAAAACAAAAGGGGGCTGAGGAAACATATGGGGAGAGCCATTTAAGCTGGGACCAATGAGAGAAACAGAGGGACTGACGTGATACTTTTCAGCAAAAACAGAGTGTTTCGGCAGGAAGACCAGCACAGGGAAAGTGTACAATGTAGGAGGGAGTAAACTTGAGAGTTTGAAGAAATGCCTAATAAATGGAGGTGGCGCTTTGGCGGAAGTTTGGGGTGTAGAATCTGCTGAGTCCTCAAGCCTCCCTCCCTAAGCATTTAGGTTCCCTTGTAAGTGCTGCACCTTTAAAGTGCTTCCCAAATTCTGCACAAAAATCACATGTCAAATGTCAGTATTTTTATTTGTATTATCATGGTGATGACACTGAGAGAGAACAATTTAACTATTTGTGAATAATAGTGTCTTAATACCTAAGACAATCTCAGTTGCCTTATTCTTAACGGCTATGTCACCATATACTTCAGGATCTGCTTTTACTTTGAGTTGCATTAAAAACATTACCTTACTAAAAATAAGACTGGAAAATTCCAATTAGACAGTAATCTTCCTGAGGAATACATTCTAAGACATCCACAAGTCCCTCAATTAGTAAATCCAACTGGAGCATATATTTTTTCAGTTTCCTCTTCTGCAAAACTAGGATAATACCTCACTGGGCTGTTCTGAGGATTAACTTACATCATGTGGTAGAAAAAAACAAAGTTTTATTGAGATGGGCTGCATATACTTATTCTACTTAATCTATAAACATAATTACAAATTAATATATGCTGTAAATTTCTGGGAGTGTTTGAAAACATTCTATACCAAAAATACTAAATCTGTGAATGCCACGGGGTCTTTATTTAATAAGGCGATGTGAGACACCACAGTGTGTTCCATTAAACGGTGCAAAGTATTTCAGCTACACGTTTGGATCCATTCACAATGATTTCTTTTGCTACTTGCATGTGCAAGCACAGTGCCATGTGTTGAAGACACAAGGATCACGAATGAACTTGCAGTCTAGTGAGGGGGGAAGACGACGTTCATGACCATTGCTTGACAATGCCATAGTGAGGAATGACTATTGAGAAGCCCTGACAACCGGTGCTATAGGAATCAGAGGAGAGAGCTGTGGCCCAGAAGAGTTTCAGGAAGAGGTGCTATTTAGGCTGGCCTTTGAATGCAGCTGGGGTTTGGCTGAATAAGAAACACATCCCTGGTCACAGTGGTTCCAG